TGCAGAAAATAGGAACTTACCAGAATAAAGTTGAGTCCAAGTAACAAGAATTGTAATAGCCCTGGATGCCTTTCTTCTTTCCAATCATTATCTTTAAACCTTCTTTTTCCATCTTTGGTGGAGTATTTTCTTCTACTACTTCACTTAAGTAGCCTCCAAATGCTGAAAAGATAAAAAATAAAAATAATTCTTTTAAATCATGACAGTATATATTCATATGCATGTACATATATATCATTTAAAGTATATTTTGGCATCCTCTGCATTTTTTTTACTTTAGTTAACTGATATTTACCTGGACTTATAAAAATGTGATTATTCACTTTCAACATCATTCCTGTCATATAGAGTTTAGAAAATTAAGTCAATTAAGCATCTGTCAAAGAATATTTTGTTACTTGTCCAAAATGTTTCATTTTCAAGTATAAAAAGAAAACAAGTTTCCAAAATACTCTTCAACATTAAGAAAAATGTTTTTCATAAAGATGTTTTCCCTATTTCCCCCAGCTTGACTCTCACTATTGTTAAGGGAAAGGCCAGCATCAGCAAGCTAGTGACAATGAGAAGAATTGTCCTCCATCTGTCAAGCCAACTGCATCCCCAGACTGTATCAGATTTCTTCATAAGGACATCCGGAATGAGGTACTTAAATAGATGCGGAGGGGAAGTTATTGCTAAAGGGACCACATTTTCATTTCTACCACCCACACTGCCAAAAATTTAATGTCTATAATCAATAAAAGAGAAGAAAAAACACCGCCTTTCAGTCTTTAGACCCTAAACACTTTTTCTAACTCTTCTTTCAACATATCTCCTCTTAGGACAACTCTCTTATGCACCAAGTAAGAATCTTTACCAACTTCAAAACTCGATCAACACTGGCAAGTAAAGAAAACATCTAAACACTGTCACCCTCAGATGCTAAAAAGTAGCAAGAAACAGTCATTCCAGATGGGTAAATAAATTAAAAGTATCCAATTACCTAAGGAATTACACCTTTCAATCTGATTAGGAACAGGTTGCAGGGACGCAAACCTAGAGTCGGGTCTGCAGCTCTTCAGTTTCACGAACAGGGCCTTCTTCAGGGCACAGGTGAAATAGCGCGTGCCCCTGAACGTGCCAACTGTACAGCCCGCACATTCATCCTCCTGAAAAACAAAGGTTTTGGTATGTGTTACACTGGGAAGAGCTATGGAGTTTTCACTTTTTCTGAATTTCTTTTTCAAATCTTTTCTGAACAGATCAGCACGAAGGAAAAGGAACTGACTAACTGGTGCTCTGGCCCTCAGCTGGTGGTTTAAGAAAATAATTCCTTAGCCCTCCGGGAAGTATTTGATGCATTTCCTTTCAAAACACGTGCTTAGAACTTCCTTGGTTTACTGAGTTTCCCTGAGCCATTTCAAAAGTATTAAAATCAAGGGGCAGGAGTAGATAACTTACCTAGTTCCTCACCAGCAAGAAGACAAGTGAAAAAAAGTTAAAAACTATATTTAGGTAATAGCTAAATTTATTCAAGTTCTCCCTCCTGGTTATAAAATATCACACAATATACTTTTTTTAAGACCCAAAAATAAAACCTTCCCCCTCTCCCAAAGACTCCAAACATGATGATTAATTTTAAAGTCAGTCACATCCGTGAACTGACTGCAATGGGAAGTAGCTAAAGAATAAGAAGGAAAACTGGTCACTGAACTGCTTTCTTTGCTGCATTCTGTTTGTATGTGGAGACTACATGTGCTAGCCTAAAAAATCAATCTATTCCTTGATCACAAACAAACATGAGGAATAAGTGGGCGAGAAGCCTGAGGAATGGCAAAGGGTGAAGGTAAGCAATACTAGAATATTTCCTCTACTACTGGATTTTTTTTGAAAAAAAAATAACTTCCCAAGAAATTAGACTAATAGAGGAAAACCTAGTTTTAAAACCCATGAAGAAAAGTTGTAGATTTCAAGCCAAAATAAATTACCAGTTCCAGTCCAGCTAGCACATCACTGAGCCCAGGAGGCTGGCCAATCCAACGGATAACCCCATAGAACGGGGGATTCTCTTTCACTTCAGCCAGTGAGCCCACCTCTAGACCGTATGCATTACCAGAGGAGATGGGCAAAGGTGGACTCTCCTGGACAGGCGTGCTGTTCAGCTCGCCCATCACAGACTGCACTGACGGTGACAGTGGGCTGTGAGCAATGCTGCCGTTAGTATTGGGCATCTTGGTCAGGCTGAACGGTAAAGACTGGAATCTGTTCTCGCTGGATAAGGAGTTCATGGAAGGAGGTTGTGGTGGAGGTGATGAATGTCCAAAGTCTGGAGACAGCTCTATAAGTGACTTTGCAGGGTCTTCTGCAACTATGAAAAATTGTCCTTAATTAGAAAAGGCTGTTCAAGAACATTAAATATGACTGCATCTTCTAAAAACAATACAAAGTTCTAGTCTAACTGATCACATGATCCCTTTGCAAGTCTGCTTGAAAGCACTGTAAACTCATTGGCTCTGAATAATGTTCTTGCTCCTCTTCTCGACCTCCACAGTTTCCTGTCTCAGTAATCTGGCATTGGTCATCTAAGTCTAGTCAGTATAGATTATATTCTTTCCCATAATATGAGTAAGTTAGAAATTAGTATGAAGAGATATAAAAATTAAATAATAATTCTAAATAACCCATGGATCAAAGAAAAAGTATTAAAAATAAAGAAAAAAAAAGAGAGAAAGGAAACCAAAAGAACATGTGTGGAATACAGATAAGGAATGTTTTTAAAAGAAAACTATTGACAGTTAATTTTAGAAAAATACCCAAAAAGCTAAGTATTAATTAACTTACATATAGCTTGATATATCAGAAAGACTGAACAAAAAGAGAGCAAAGATTAATGAAAGGGGGAAAAAGATTTAAAAAGCTTAAGTCAAAATAAACACCAAGAAATAACTCAAAAAAAAAAACTTACAGTAAAGAAAACAGCCAAAAGTTGTTTCCGAAAGTGACTAATGCAGCTGGCAGGCACATACTGCTTCTCAGCAGGAAAGAATGGCCTTTTTAATATTGTTGAGATAGTCAATAACACATATGTTTAAAAACATTAGGGGCTGGAGAGACGGCTCAGCAGTCAAGAGGGTTTACAGTTCTTTTAGAGAACCTGGATCTGGTTTCTAGCACCCACGTGGCAGCTCACAATTGCCTGTAACTCCAGTTTCAGCAAATCTGATTCCTTCTTCTAGCTTCTGTGGACTTCTGCATGTGTGGGTTATACATGAACTTACACAAGTACAAGCACATGCTGTGACTAGGAAAATACTAGGAGTTTGCAGGACAAACGTGAGGCCCTAAATTCAGTTCCCAGCATGGAAAAACAAAACCAAACAATAACAACAAACCAATAAACCAGAATCTTACTCATACTCTGCAAAAGCCAGTTCCAGATAGCATTAAAAAATGTGACTAGCAAACGATACTTGTCTAGAATACAATATAGAACAATGTTTTCTTATGACTTCAAGGAAGAGAGTAATTAGAAGTAAGAATATAAACCATAAGGGGAAATGACAAATATCATCTGATTAAAATTAAGAACCTGTTCTTGAAAAGGAGCTGTAGCTTAGAGTGACCTTGAATCAAAGAAGAGAATACTTGTAATACACTTTTCTCAAAAGGTAACTTCAATAAGACCAGGGGAAAAAAGATGAAGGTCTGAAAAGGTAATTCACAGAAGAAACTCAAGGAACCAATAAATCAATGAGAGATCCTTGCCCTTACTAGTAAACAGGTTAAGTGAATGCACAAACCAACATGAGATGTCATTGCAAAAACTACGTGTCTTCAGTGCTATTCTCATCCTTTGTCAGAGACTCTTCTCTTTGTAGTGAGCAAGGGTGAGTGCAGACTCATGGCTACCCACTACACGCAGAATGCAGATATGCTGAGGATTCAACCTTGAGCAGGACATTTCTACAATCTCCTCGAAGGCTCAAGGAATAGTGCAGAAGAGAGTGGAGGAAAGAAAGAGCTGGGCTGGAGGGATGGCTCAGCATTAAGACCACTCATTACCCTTCTGAAGGTCCTGAATTTGATTCCCAACAACCACATGGCAGTTCACAAACATCTGATACTCCCCTCTGGTGTGCAGATGTACATGCAGACAAAGCACCCATATAATTTTAAAAAAAGAATAAAAGAGCTGGAAGAAAACAACATACGTGCGTTTTAAATTTTGAAACAGGGTACCATGTAGCACAGGATATCCTGAATTTACAACCATGTACCATTACATCCCGCTTTCCATGTAAGTCTTTTAGGACCAATATTATTTCATGAAATTATTGAACAATACATTAGAGTCTAGCATATCGAGAAGTTATGAATATTCTAGTCATGGTAGTTTGAATGAGAGTGGTTCCCATAGGTTCATATATTTGAATGCTTGGTCACAATGAAGTGGAACTGTTTGAAAAGGACAAAGGTTAGGAGGAGTGGCCTTACTGGAGAAGGTATGTATGTCACTGTGGGTGGACTTTAAGCTTTCAAAAGTCCATACCAGCCTCAGTCTCGTTTTCTCTGTCTGCTGCCTATGGATCAGGATGTAAAGCTCTCAGCTAATGTTCCAGTGTCGTGACTGTGTTTCCCACTATGACAATCATGGACTAACCCTCTAAAACTGCAAGAAAGCCCCCAATCAATTGGTTTCTTTTTAAAAAGTTGCCTTGGTCATGGTGTCTCTTCACAGCAACAGAATAGTGACTAAGACACTAGTACAATACAAATTTATTTTATTAATAAAAAAGAGAGATGAAGGTACAGCATAAACTGGAAGATTCAACATTGTCTAGATTATGAAAGCCTCTTAAAAACTAATCAGTACCTTGGAAAGCATCTGTGAAGCTGCTTGAATTGACAGGGCATGACCATCCTTCTTCACAGCATCCTGGATGGTACTGTGCACATCCAGAGACCAGCAGGATTTGAAGATGCCAAAGACACTCTCCAGAAGTTACAGAGCTGAGAATTGGTATCACAGACTAATCCCAACAAAAGTAATCCACCAGGAGACAGGCCCTCCTCCTAAAGGAACACTATTTAGACACACGTCTTGCTGTGAGCAATGGTGAATTCTTTTTTTTTAATTTATTTTATTTTATTATGTATACAGTGTTCTGTTTGTATGTATGCTTGCTGTCCAGAAGAGGGCACCAGATCTCATTACAGATGGCTGTGAGCCACCATGTGGTTGCTAGGAATTGAACTCAGGACCTCTGGAAGAACAGTCAGTACTCTTAATCTCTGAGCCATCTCTCCAGCCCCAGGTGTATGAATTCTTGAGAGAGGCAGGTCATGCTGCCTATGCTCACAAAACCCCACTCAGTGCGAGAATCAGATGTGGCAAATACCCACTCAGGTTACTTTCTGTGTAAGTATATATGTAACCTATAGTATACAACTGTAGATTTTACTGTGTATTTTAGCTTATAACTGAATCCATGTCATAAGCAGTCATCATAGAGACTTAGAACACTTATTTTCTTTTTTTTTTCTTTTTTTTAATTTATTTATTTATTTATTAAAGATTTCTGTCTCTTCCCC